AAAGACATTGTATAAACCGAGGACCTCCATCATCTGATCAACGACAGGACTTGAACAAATCATAAAGCTATAAATTAAGGATGGACAGTGTCGGTAGGAAACTGCCGTTCCATCTGGGACACCTGAGTAGATTCTAATAACACCGTAGTCCATGCACTTATATACATATGACTGAAAGGGGATTGGAAACAGGTGGTTATGAAAGTGATAGGCCTCTAGTTTGATAAGAACACCAAGTCTCTATTCAGGTAAGAAATAGCCAGACACGCATTTGAAACTGACAACATGACTCATCCCGAGGAGGCTTGGAATAATATCCAGTCAGCTGTAGAAATACGTTGATAAAGACTATAAACAACCTGCTACCATCAAAGGTTAGTAAATGCCAGTGAATTTCTGACGCTTCATTCGAACTGACAGACACAAGAAGACTGATTTCAGTGGGCTGTGAACATGATCAAGGATGAAAGCTGCTCAAGATGTTAACTGAATGAAAGCCTTTGCAACGACCGTGAAAAGAGATGGGTTAACTAAGATATTTGGCAATGGGTGGGAATCCGAGAAAGAACCATTGGATTGGTGGAAATCATTCATTGTCCCAGTTTATAAGAACAGAGATAAGACACAAGGTTATTATTATTATTGTTCCCTTGGGTTCCTAGTGGAACATAGGGCTCCAACTACACGTCTCCACTTGTTTCTGTCTTCTGCTGTACTTTTCACCTGCATCCATGTTAATCCATACTGTTTCAACTCTTCTTCACACGATCTCCTCCATGTCACCCTTGGACGTCCCACTCGCCGCTTCCCTTTCGGGTTCCACTCGAGCACTGGACTGACGCACGATGTCACCCAGCGGCCTCTTCAGTTAGTGAATGTCCAATCCATCTCCACTTTCTCCTGCATATTTGTAGAGCGATTGGTTCGTGTTTTGTTTGTTCCCATAGTTTCTTGTTGGTGATTCTTTCCGGCGGCCATCTGATCTTCAGTATAGAACGAAGACAGTTGTTGATAAAGGTCTGCAACAGGCTGTTGGAAATATTCTGATCCGTATAGAAGAACTAACTTGACGTTTGTATTGAAAATCTGGATTTTGTTGTCGATGTTGAGTGAAGAAGGTTCACTAATATAGTGTCTACGATTTCCGGTTCGATCAATATGCATGTAGTAAGCGATGCTCGGGAGAAACAAGTCCGAAGAAAACAAGAAGCCTTTAGACACAGAGACGAGGATGTAATCAGTAAAACAAACTTTTTGAATAACTGATGGCTAATTAAACCCGTGATGAAAACCTTATTTCGCAGATAGGTGATAAATGCCCACCTAGGAGACCTACAGTTTAGTCGACATTGCATCAAGTTAACTGAACACACTGTCGAAATTATACAGTAAGCGAATCATTCAAATGCGTATTAACCGGGGAATGAGTTCCATCCATCCCTGATGAGATAAGTTAATGGTGTGAAATACAATATTGGATGATTCTTTCCTATTAATGATATCAGTATCTGTACTTTATATAAGTAATTAGTTTACAACGGATGAACACGAATAAAATTACTGAAGTATGCTGAGAACAAAAGCCAACCATGTGTATTAAATTAACATTAATTAGCAGTGTATTTGTAAGGAAGTGAATAATTTCCACGTGAAATTCAGTCAGAGAAACACATTAAGGATCTCATAGCTACTTCTCCTCGCTGGCATTTAGAACTCTACAGCAGTTCACACGCATGACTACCTGTGAAATTGTACCTATAATTATTAATTTTTGAAACAAGCTTGTTATCTACTTGGCCATTTAGATCAGAAACTAATAGCTCCGTGATTGATATACACCAAAACAATCTATGCATGAAAATTTAAACTGATGCTCACTATTGACTGACTTACAGAATGAAGTTGCCAGGAGTTCTGGTGAGAAGTCGTGACCACTGAGGTCCACCAAATCGGATGTGAAGACAAATACCCGTCCATGATATTGGCTAGCGGTGGTACTAAATATCACAAATTAAATGCAGTTAGAACCCATGGGTCACTGAATTCCACACCTCCGTGCCTGGATGGTCAACTAGCTCGCCTCACAACTTGGAGGTCCTGGGTTCGAGTCCTAACTAAAGGCGACATCATGGTCGCGTACTGCCGAAGAGTCTCAAACCAGTAAAGGAACAGCCGTTCAGTACTCCATGATCTGCAATGGTCCAACAAGTGATATCAGTCCAATCAAGTGCCTACAGACTAAAACTTGAAAAGTAACACTTTTCGCACAAACCTTGGTGAACCTCACTGATCACGACTTTTCATCAATATGCCCAGCCATCCGTGCGGAATTGGTTGAAGTTGGAAATCATAGACTATGGAATTTTAACAACCAAGGTGATTTCATTTTTTTTAATTCTTATTTGTTTCCTTTAATTCCTAGAGGAACATAAGGTTTCAGTCGCACGTCTCCAGTGCGTTCGGTTCTCCGCCAAAGTGTTCACCTGGCTCCACGTCTGACCACATGCTCTCATTTCCTCTTCACATGACCTCCTCCTCCATGTCACCCTCGCACTGACGACCAACTAACTCACAGCTCCCTATTCAGGTTCCACTCGAGAGACAGCCTGGCTTGTAATGTCACTTGATGATGGCTTGTTTTCTCAGAGTATAGCCAATCCAATCCACCTGCATTTCTTCCTGCATATTCATTGTACAGTTGGTTCTTACTGGGTTCATTCGCTCCCAGAGATCTATCCCTGATGTCGAGCTTTTCTGACCATCTGATCTTGAGTAGTATTGAGCGAAGACAGCTGTTGATGAAAGTCTGTAGTTTGTTCGAAGTGCCCTTCATGACGCGCCGGCAAGTCTCTGATCCGTATAGTAAGTAGCACTGACTTCACATTGGAGTTGAAAATCCGGATCTTACTTTCATTTTCATGCTGAATACTGTTGATCTTCACACAGACTTGACAGTAATGAAAGCCTGCCTTGCTCTTACGATCCTCGTCTTGATATCCTCATCATTTCCATCCACCTTTCGTTGATACGACACTTCCCAGGCAGGTACAGGAGGTGATTTCATAAGCAACCATAAAAGAGTGACAAGTCACCTCGTGGATAAACATGACTGACTGGTTTCAACATAGAAGTTTGCACAGAAGTGCAGCAGTTCCACTTGCCACACTCCATGTATCACACAAAGGAAGACAAAAGAGAGAAAAAGAAGACATTCGAAAGAACGAAATATCAGGGATAAAGGATAGTACCATAGAAAAACAATAGGGTTAGGCGAATACTCAGCGAAGAGATCCTTTTCAACGAATTTATTATCAAGCTGTACAATCGTATATATATGGATTTTAAGAAATTATATCCGGTGAGGGAATTAGGTCAAAGGCGTGAATACATGAAATAATAATAGTAAGACAGCTGAGGCCTTGGCAATTCATGACTTTAAGTCAGAACTTTGTGTACAAAAGAAGTATGTACAATCCCTACTTCTGCCTTGGCCGTAGAGGGATAGACATTTATTTATTTATTTTGTTTATTTAGTTATTCTATGTACGTTTCCGTTATTACTACGATTATTATTATTATTACTATTCTCACTCTGAATTGTTTCCACTTGACCCAATTGTCATTCTAAACACAAAATTATTTTCAAGTATTGGTTGAAGATGAGGCAGTAACTCATCCAAGAAGACATTGCGAAATGGTCGCGCTATGTCGTGAATTGGCAGAAGTTAGAATTCATGGAGTGGCGATTGGATCGGGTCCCAGTGACTGAATGGTCTACGAGCTCGCCTTGTAACCAGAAGGTCCTGGATTCGAATCCCCGTGTGTGCGTACTGATGAAGAGTCCCAAACTAGGACGAAACAGCCGTCCAGTACTCCCAGGTTTTCCAATGAATCTCTAGATGATGTCAGCTCATGATGAAACCCTCTATGCGAACAAAAGTTTTTATTTTTTATTTTTATAATATTGAATTCTATCTCATCAAATTTCACAACATGTTATGTAACATTTTATATTCGTCCACTAACCCTAGAATTATGTACCCCTTTCCAAAATCTATACACCTTATGTATTATTCTATATATGACATTAATTGTTTTGCCACTTGACATTAGACTATGATTATATATATATATATATATATACGATTGTACAGTTTGATAATAAATTCGTTGAAAAGTCTCTTCGTTGAATATTGTGTTCTTAAGCGAATACGCCAGATAACAAAGAGTAAATGCATCTGCACCAGACAATCAGAAAGATCTCCAGTCATGCAACCAACTGTCGCCAACTACTGATTCTCACCATCCAGAGTTCCTCCCTCCCCACCCCCCAACATCAAGTCAGTCTACATCTCCTTACGTGGCTCGGACTAACTGCTAAAGATTTCACGGCCTGATTGCATGTTTTCGTTTGACCACCACTACTACTAGCACTTTTCCAAACTGACTCATCCTGTGTCATCTAACATTGTTCATTGGCGAAACCGATGGCTAGGCGTGCATGAATAAATCAATATATCAAGTGACTAAGTAGTGTCTTAAATTGCTTTCAATTTCCTATCATGAACAGAATGTACATTTTTAAAATTATCGAATTATTCATACTCCATGAATATTTTATTTCATGTTATTTATTTATTTAGGATTTCTTATTTCTTTTAATCATAGCTATCAATCAAATTTCTAATTATCTTCACAAAAAAACAAATAAAAAATAAATGTGAATTCATCTACTCAAGTGTTTAAATAAATGTAACTACCGGAATTCAATGTTCAATGCTTCTTGAATACAATATTCAATGTGTTCAACAATTTTTACAAATTATACAGTATATAAATACATACATATAGACGTGCATTTCATCCCTTTATGCACTTAAAGAAGGTAAACATCAATCACTAGCATGTATATGTATATATCAGAAATAAAAGGTATATGATACTAAAAACTAGCACTGTAGTAAAATATATACATCATAAATGAATACAACGCCACTTACCATGAAAGTTCATCAATTTTTCCAATAAGATCATTTGTAACAATTTTAAGAGCATTTCTGAAAAATAAAACAAACACAACAAACACTGATATGTGATAGGTGAACCGACAAAATACACAGAAATCAGATTAATTTCATACACTTATTTCCCTTTATGAACATTATTTATTATTACCAAGCCCTTGAGTTCCCAGTGGAACATAGGGCGGCTTCAGCAAACACATTTCCATGCCATCCTTTATTCCGAAGACATTTTTAGCTTGTCTCACGATTGCCACTAGACTCACACCTCCTCCTTCTCCTCCTCTTCAAACAATCTCCTCCACATGTCACCCTCAGACGCATGCCGACCTCGCCCTATCCCATTCGAGTTCCACTCGACAGCCTGGGCCATGATATCATTCAATAGTCTCCTCAGCGTGTGTCTGATTCATCTTCCTTTTTTTCTTCGCAGTACTGGTTGGGCTTCGCTGAGTTTTCCTCTATGAATCACTTGATTTCACCTGCTCGTGTGGAACCAGGTATGTCGGCCATACCCAGCGTTCGCTTTCCAAACGTATCACCGAACACTTACCAGCATGGCTTTACAAAGGAGAAAAACGATGCCCCCACAGCTCTATCTTAGGACATCTGACAGATTCCGGACACCAAGCTACACCAAAAACAAACTTCAAAGTCGTCTACAGAATACGAAGCAGTCTTCCTAAAAGTGTACGAATCAGACTTCTTCAAACTGCAGAAGCAATGGCAATTCACTTGCTGAGTCCTGACCTCTGCATACAGAAGAAGTTCGTTCAATCACTACACTTGCAATGGACGTAATTTATCTTAATACCCGACAGGTAAATTCTATTTCTTTCTCTCTCTTCATTAGTATTATTTTGTCTTTTCAATAGTAATATTTTACATTTTCAGCTTTCCTGTTCTCTACCCCCATCCGATTTAATTTCTACACCTCATTACCACTGTTACTGACTTGATCAACGCTCAATTTCTAGTCATTTATGTTACGTCATCCAATTTCCTTACTCAATTTTAGTCCTAATTTAAATGGCATTATTCTCTACCCCACCTCTACTTAGTCTCTACTCGTAATTAACTCTGCTGCTATTCTGAAACATTTTAGTCAATTATATTGCGTCATTTAATTTACTAACTCAATCTTACTTTAGTTGCTGTCTAATTAACCTTGTTTCTTGTTACTTAATTAATTATCTGAACTTGATAAACCTCATGTACATACACACACACAAATAACTGTATATAAATGCGGTTGTACAGCTATGTGAATGAATTCGCCGTCAAAAAGAGTCTCTTCGCTGAACGTCTTCTCTTTTTCACTTGATATGTGGCAATATCATCATAGAAAAAGTCAATAGTCTGAATGAGACGATGTCATCATTTATTTTATCGGCCTCAGAAAAAAACAAATTCAATCAAGTATACGTACAAAGAAATTCGTTCAACGTACGTACATGCAAAGATGACATGATGTTAATTAACAGAAGACCGTAAAGCTGATAAACACTACTCAGAAATTACACTTATATAACTTAATACACAGAAGGTTCAGGTCTAACCGAAAATAAAATAAATGTTTAGATAGAGTGGAACACTGTATATACAGATTTACATGTATCTGCACAGTTGGAGTTACATTAGGTGAACAGGAAGACAGGCACAACTTGGATTCTCTGAACTTGTACCAAAACCCGACGTATCAAGGGAACAAATGATTTCAATAGTGCTAATAATGCCAGGTATCTTGTTAATATAGGTCATGAGGTGGAAAACTTCGGTGGCACAGTGGTAGAATGCTCGCCAACCACGCAGATGGTCCAGGGTTCAATCCCCGGCCGGTGTACTCCTTTACGCCGAAAAAACTAGTAATCACACTGGCAAAGGGGGAAGGTTGGGTATGAGGCTAGCAACCCCATCCAGTGAAAATAAATACCAACCACGAGAATGGTTGTACTGAACTTTTACTTTTAAAAATTGCGCTTAACTTCACATACAAACTAAATTCTTTACACTCGATTACTCCGAATAGATTCATCACGTGACAGGCTAAGAGACACTTATAGTGTGTGTGTGTGTGTATGTATGTATGTGAAGGGCTAACGATAGTCTATTTGCAACGACCAAAGTAGGTAGAGCAGAATTTGAACCAAGGACTTATTAGTTAAAAAGCTGAGAGTTTACTTCAGTTAACCACATCGTTCTCATAGTGTGATTGTATAGGATTCTGCTAACCGGTTTAATGCTCACATTGACTGAAAGTGTTCCAATGAATATTCTACTAACATTAGATTTCAGTAGTTTAGGGGATAGGGATGACCACTTTCCTTACGAAAGTGGATTTGTGGATTTTTTGTGTAAATACAGATTCGACTTCTTCAGATGGATTCCGACAGTTTCCGCTATATATACAACAGAGAAACTCGTAACGGGGAATTTAAGCCTAATCGGAAAGCGATAAATAACTTGTTAACGTCGAGCTCAGTATCCACAAGGTGTACTATTAGACAGCTAGGAATAGACCCTGTTCCCCCCCCCCCTGCTTAGCCATGCAGGATGATCTTCAGATGTTTCGATGATCAACATACTTAGTTGTACGCCTAATGTAACTGGCGCCAAAGGAGCAGTCAAACTCATGGATACACATAGAGAAGACGATAGATAGATAGATGGACGGATAGACAGGTTATCCTTATTTCCTGAACATAAAATTGGAGTGTTTGTGAAGAAATAGTGTGCCTCTGCTGCAATGAATCCCCTTTTTTACTGTATTCTTTACACAGTGTATTATTATTTCTTTAACTATTATGCATAAATAACTGTAGAACGTGATGAGAAAGTTATCGAAAAGAATATTCTCTGCACAATAATTGTAGGAAACATAAATGGACATGTCAGCTTCCAGTACGGACGTTCCGACGATGTCCAAGGATAAAAACGTGAAGTGACTAGCACTGATATCCCAGATGCACATTTTATCCTATTTGGGAGTCGTCAGCCAGGCGTACCTGCAATCTTCAGTGAATTATAGTGTGTTCCAATAGTGAGATTGGAGTCCAGCATCCATCGCGCTTCAAGCACCAAAGCGTTATTCACTAGCTCAATTGGGTCACGACGAGAGCCATCTCTCATGCGACGAGTACCAGTTATTACTTGAAAAGTTCGAAATAGGATGAAACGTGTATCTTGGATTACACTATAGAGTCACCATCCATCCATGAAATGACATGCATATTTAAATCATTTCATAAATCGATTCTATTTATGAATAAAACAAAATATATTTTTATAAACAAAAAAGACTAATTCCCTTGGCTTACTTTGTTTGAATTAATTCTTGATTCTCTTTTATCAAATTTTGTACTTCTCTGCGTACACCTAAACGAAGAAAAACAAATCAAGGAACAAACGAAAAACAAAAGGATTATGTAAGTGAATATATTCATCAGTGTAGGGCTAAAAAATGAAAACACAAAAATTACACGGATTAACTGTTTCACAAACGAAGATCTACAAAATTTGACTGTTAATCAGATTGTCAGCAGTTTTGGTCAAAACAAACAAACAAATAACCAAACACACAGAAATACAAGTATACAGAAAATCATCTCATACAGATCAAATACTTAATTACAACTTTCAAGCATTGGAATACGAGCTCCCCTAGTAAGCAGAAGGTCCAGGGTGCGTGCGTAGTGCTGAAGAGTCCCAAACTAGACTGACGAAACAGCTGTCCAGTAGTCCCTGCTGGTTTCCAATGCTTCACTAACTGATGTCAGCTCATGATATAACCCTCCAACCAATAAAAATATCCCTACAAAATCAATACCTGAAAATTGATCTGATGCTCACTAGTGACTGGCCCTATTCAGGTTGGTAGGTACCTGGGGTTCTAGTGAGAAGCCGTGACCGGTAGGGTACAGCAGATTGAAGGTGAGACAGTAACTCATCGGAGAAGTTGTCGCGCTATGTTATGAATTGGCTGAAGTCAGAATTCATGCGGTGGCCATTGGGTCGGGTCTCAGTGACTGAATGGTCTACGAGGTCGCTGGCCTTGTAACGAGAATGGCCTGGGTTTGAACCCTGTTGGTGGGTGCGTACTGCTGAAAATTCCCGAACCAGGAGGAAACAGCTGTCCAGTACTCCCAGGGTTTACAATGGTTTTCTAAATGAGGTCAGCTCATGATGAAATCCTCCAACCAACATAATTACAACAGCAAAAAAACAATATTCGAAAGCGCCAGGACACACTGCAACAGTCCTGTGCCTTGAGGAGGAGGGCAGAGGAGAAACAAGGGTTTGGGTGCTAGAGAAAGCAACCTCCTAATGATGTTGTGTGTGTGATATGTTCTCCAACTAAATATAGATCACATAAGTTCATCTGAACGGAATCTGCCTAAAAAATCTTTCACTTCAGTATTCTAAAGCACCACCTGTATGATATCAGAGCTACACATTAGGCATTATTTTACTGTATTTCAGCCTCTAAACAGAATGAATATCCAATAAACTTCAATAAAGCAAGGGGGTGAGCCTCTTTTTGCATTAGTAAATCAAATTCACAATTTACACAGTTTGAGGAGGTAAGATTTCGTTTGATTAGACACTAGTCAGTAACTAGTGTGATGTGTGTCTAGTCCTTTGTTTGGTGTAGACTGAATTCTATCAGTCAGTCAGGTTTGCAATGTGGCCACCATGCCACTAGGTAGCACGCCATCACGGTGCACATTGATTTGATGATATTAGATGGTTGGAGGCAATCAGGAGGAAGCCTTGCTTGACCTAGGTTTCGTACTAGTTGGCACTCACCAGTCAGCAAGGCGTATCTTCAGCCTTGAAGGAACTCATGTCCTTCCGAGATTCGAACCCGTGTCAAAGACGCTACCACTGATATATTCGGGCTTGCGATTGACCTCCTGTAGTTCCCTTTGAAAATCTGAAATTATTCAGATCACAAGTGCATGATCAAGAAGTTAAGCATAAATGTTAGATACTACTAAGTGAATGAGATGAGTAGTTGTATACAAACCATAGCAACTGGCATCTTTAGTTTCTTGATTACCATTTCTGCTACTAAACAAGCCACACACACACAGGTGATCTGAATAATTTCGGTAGTGTAGGGGAATAATCACCTCAAGGTGTGTCCAGTGAGAATATGGTATTACCAGTTCCTCCAAGCAGATAGCCAGAAGTTGGATGTGTTGAACGGATTTGGATCTCTTAGGTGAGTTGTGCTTGATCCTAAAAGAGCTAGACAGCTGTCCAATGTTTCGATCACTTCAATCTGACTAGTTAGCGAACACTAGTTGGTGGATATGAGTGGTATTCAACCACTCATTCCTGATTGGTTTGTCACAAGAGCTCCATGTTGCTCATTCTTCCTGGTTGTGACTGTCTGATCTTCGATATAAGAATAGAACTTGTGCACTGTGGTAAAATATAATTCGAATGTGGGTAAAATTTATCTTGATAAAGTTTCGCAGTATTATACGGTAATATTTACTGATGACTACGTTTCGAGCACAATTTATTACTGCAGCTCATAATCATATCAAGGCACTACTCACACAACTTTCTAGCTTCCTTTATATAATTCCATCATTATTTTGCATCGCTTGACTTCATTGGTAGTAGTATTTTCCATATTTCTGGTTTGAGTGAGGAGTCATTCCTGTAGCATGTGTTCGAGTGTAGACTCGCTGAACAAAAATTCAGTTATCTACCTCTCTATCTATCTACCCAGATTACTTCTTAGAATTTTAACCCTCTCCCACCCTATTGTGTGGTTGTGTGTTAATGCATGCAGTGCGATTGCTGAGCTCTTTTCTAAATTACTTATCTTCGTGGGTCAACCATTCTTACCTTAGCTACATTCTGATAATCTGACTACACCCGATCTACTAGTTTGACCTATGTAGTTGACCTCACTCACAGTCATTGCAAGGTATTTTGTGAATTATATTTTTTTGTCTAATTGGGTCAACAGGGTCCCTTAACGTACAGAGCTTGTCTCTGAGTGAGGTTGTAAGTTTATTAAGAATCTCACTATGTAGGGTTTCAGATATCCCCTCTTTATATAGTAAAACTGTAGATGCCTTATATTCTCTCTTATTTATGTTATCCTTACTAGTTTCACCATTATTTTTATTATGACATTTTTGGGATTTTATAGGATTGTTATTTAATATTACTGTATAACACTGTGTGAATGTATTAAAATAAATTTTCTCCATATTGGAATTACACATACACGCACACTACCTATTTTACATCTTCACACCAGTTCTCTAAGTCACAAGTTGAATTGACTTCCCATCACTACACCGATGATAACCATTAAAAACTGTAGCAAATAAATAGTAGTAGGCGATGATGTCTCACTAACCAATCACTGACTAACTAGTTTCAAGTAACCAATCAGATGATAAAATAGTCATGTGACCTAGAATTATGTTGTATACTAAACAGCTGTGATATTCATCATCAAGTGCATTGTACAACAACAATCGATGGATGGTTCACAAAAATTATTAATATGATTTTATCACTTTTTGGAAAGGAGACAGAATAATAGAAAAAAACGCGACAATGATGCGTGTGAATAGTAAAGAAGAAGAAATAAGAAGGCAAACACAGCTAGCTATTAGACAAACAAATATTATGTGGGTTGTGAAGCTTAGTTAGATAAAATATAAATGTGTAAAGGAATATGTACACACACTACTACTGTCTACTTTGTTTCCAATTGCCATTTTGCATTACATTTCCACTAGGTGTGTGTGTGTGACAAAGACACGCATATTGACTATCTTAATTAACAGCAAAAAAATGTTTATTTGCTATAAAAGATGTCCGATTATTCAAGGAAAGTAATTGATAAGATGAGGAGAAAACGCCTACGACATATTTTGCTGTATTATTCCCATAGGATTTAACAGTACAGTTCCAACAGTGGTGTGAACACGGGAAGTAATTTTGCTCGAAACATTACCAATAACAAAACTTATCATTGTGTGTAAACCACTGAAATATAATTATACTTCATTTGATCTTCACTTCATTCTGTTCTCTTCAGTTGTCTTTAGCTGGCTCCATGACTGCCTATAAGTAATCATTTCCCTGTGACACGATCTTCTTCATATCACCCTTCAATTCACGCCCAACTTTTCGTTATCCACTCGGGTTGCACTCGAGGGCCTACCATAGTCACCATGATATCCCTCAACGGTCTCCTCAGAGTGTTTCAAATGTATTCATTTCCATTTTCTGAAAATTTGTTGGGCAACTGGTTCGTCACCTGCTAGAGTTCTTGTTGCCTATCCTTCCTCTTCCACCATCTGATCTTCAGCATTCAGCCAGAGAAGGCAGCTGCTAATAAAAATTTGAAGCCTGTACAGAATGCTTTTGGTGACGACACACCAAGTATCCCTGAACTATAAAAAAGCACTGATTGATTCGACATTAGTGTTGAAAATCCGAATCATTTTCTTTATGACGAGTGCAGCAGATTTCCGTACCGATTATAGACTAATGAAGGTCTGCATTGCTTGCTTTTTCGATCTTGACTGAGTCTGACATCCTCATCTGTGCGGTGTGTAGTCGAAACGATGCTGCCTTGATAAGTGAAAGATGTAACTCCCTTCACCCGTTGATGGTGATTGGTGCTTATTTCTTTTGTTGTTGATGGTGATGACCGAGTATGGGACAGAGTCAAGATTCTAAAAAGTAATATAGGTAGGTGGAGACAGAGATTGATTACTGAATCCTTGTTCATCAAGTCTACACCTAACACATACAATAGAAGTGAGTCAACGCCAATACCAGAGATATGGAAGATATCATTACCAGTCAAATCTGAGGATAATAAATAATGTTAAAATGTATTTCAGTTCACATTATAACATTCTAATAGGTTATTTATTTTATTAAAAAAAACATCTTATTTTCCATCTGACTGACTGACAACACTTGTCATACTTCCTATCCTATTGTTTTTTATTGATATCAGTAATATCATTTCCGAATGTACTTTATCTTCCTTTCTGTTTCATGCATGTCTTTTATTGATCATATTAAAATGTCTAATCAATTTATACTCATGTATATAAATGAAGTAAAAATTTGTGTTAGTGACTTGATATGATTATAAGCAGCAATAGTTTGTGCTTGAAACGTGGTCATCAGTTAATATTACTGTATAACAACACTCTGTGTGATTTATCAAAATAAAATCTTATCCATAATGGAGTTATACTCCATCACAGTGCCCAAGTTTTATACTTGCAGCTATCCAATGACCCTCGATTTTCAAGAGTTCTCTACCTGACTCTGGTTCATAAAGCACATGCGAACGTGTGTTTAAAAAAATGTAAAGA